GCAGAGAGACGCCTTGAAAGGAGAAGTGGGTGCTGCGTTTGCACTTGCGAGCTTGAAAGTAATGAACATGATGAATGAGTGTAATGTAGACTGACAAGCCTTCATATGTTTGGAATAAATTCAAAATCAAGCTGCTGAACATGTTTGCGTCCATGAATTTAAATCACTTCAAGGTATAGTTGTGTTTGGATTTAATATTGATGTCTGTATTTAATGTGACCACTCAAAAAAACCCACATGTTGGAGAAATTAAAATGTAAATAGGTATTTAAATCACTCCTTATATTTGTGTTACAGCTCAGATTCAGGTATGTGAGAATAGTAAAGAAAAATAAAAAACAGGTGCTTTACACTGATCCACTCTTTTTAAGGGTTTATAAAATTAATGGCTTAATAATGATTGTAAAAATGGATTAATGTCTCAAAAATCAGTTATAAACCCATATAAGAACACTTTAAGGAAGCCATGTTGTGAAAAATACCTTTAGCTGGTCAAACTTGATGAACTGAAGAGCTAAAGGATATTATTCATTTATTTATTTATTTGTTTATTTATTTGATTTATTTATTTGCATCTTGGCAACCCAAAACTTCTTTTTATTGGTGATTTTAAATATATTAATATATTATTTATTGATCATGAATAAAGTAATTATAGTTTTAAATTATAAACCCTTTATAAATAGTGCATTTATTACAAAGTGGTACCAAAACAGTGAATAAATTGATTAAGTTTACTTGAAGAAAACAAAGCAGTTTGCAGTTTGATAAAGATCTACTGGTAAAAACATACAAAAAATAAATAAATGACAAGGGTCAAAGGGAATCGCACAGATTTATGCCAACAGAAAAACACATTTGGCATCTGCCAGCGTGCAAGGTTAGCTTTCTGGTGACACTGAAACATCACCCGGGCCAAGGCTTAAGTTTAACCTGACAGTTTGCTGCTGTGTTTACTTGGTTGCCGTGGATGCAGCGAGACTGGCAGACACTGGTTTGCCCCCAGCTGCTCTCAGTGGTTTCTAAAGAATCTACATTAAGGCCCAGTTGTTGTATTTGGATGCCAGGAGGGGCTCTGATGTCACAGCTGTGACACAAGAAAAGTCAAGATTTATGGCCTCACCTGGATCAACAAGTGTGTGTTACATGTGGGCCACTGAGGTACATTTTGTCTCCTTGGACACAGCTATCAATACAAATATTGGTTTCCTTACAAGAGTGACGCCAACAAAACATACCTGCTAATGCGGAAAACCTTATCTTAAATCCGCTGTAATCTTACAGGTTCAAATGTTGGAGTTTTCCATTTTGAAATCAGCTGATTGGCAGACAGAAATTCTCACTTGAAACCATCAGGAGGCTAGAACTTCTACACTGGGAGCACTGGTTGTGAGGCTGTACAGCAGTGCTTTTAGCTAAAGCTAATGTCAGCATGCTAACAGTCCTATCATGCTGTGTTTATCAGATACAATGTTTATGATGTCCACCACCTTAATTTAGCACAGGGATACTCAACTTGGCCACTTTTGCAAAATGACAGGTCAGTCAGCAGCCCTGAACATGTACACAGGGACGTTTCCAGGATTTGAGGACATTTGAGGCTTAGCCAGCTGCTTTTACAGCTTGCAGCCTACAGTCATTTCAATGAGGGGAAGGTGGTGGAAGGGAAGCAGTTTCAATCATGGTGGTTCCGGTAGGAAGCAGTTGATGCCCATGTGAACACACAGATTTTTCTCTGCTTTGTAGACTTCACAATGTTGACCTTCTAGTGCTAGGTGCCTGGCTTTGAACAATCAGATAAAAGGGGGTGACATCATGGAAGCAAAACAACGACAAGACAGTGGAGCTGATAGTAGTGTCTGAATACCCAGAGTTGTGCAACACAGTGTTAGCAATTTATAAGGACAATCAGAATAAAAACTGGGCCTGCAATAACATTTCCACCAATTTTCAGAAGTCTGGTAATTCGTCCAAATATGTAGAAATCTTTGTTAATTTCAGTGGTTTCCATTGTCTTGCTACAGTATGCTGTTACTAACATGGCGCCAAGCTCGCTTGGGCTTCCATCCATGACGTTACCAAAGCACCTGCCCATCATCACAGCCCTAGAGACACTTTGCTTTGCACACTTTTTCCCACTTTTTTGGGAAACGATCTTGCGGTTAGATCGTTGTCATGCCGGTTGCTATGCAGCGGTGTAAAAGCAGCTTAATGTTCATTAAAAATGCGGAAAAAAAATCCCAGTGTGAATCAATTTATTTTCCCTGTGACCTAAAAACGGTTTCGGGGGCCAAACATCACCCTAACAGGGGCCAGACTTGGCCTGTGGGCTGTAAGTTGAGCATCACTGGTTTGGTGTGTTAGCATGCCAACAATTGCTAATTAGCTGAAAATATGAGAATCTCCTCTGGGGCCCCAGTTTGGATTTTTTTGGGCAGGAGTGCCAATGCAGAAGTTAAGCAATGTAACCTACTGATGTGGCAGGGGACAGCAGCAAAACGTATTTTAGTCTCCACAAAGAGTCCCACCTAAAAAGATCTACAGCAGTTTACTTGAGAGTATTTTAAGTGCTTTACCTTTATGTCACACTGCCCATTACGATAGGGCTTCAATTTCCCATCTCTACTCTAATCAAAGCTACTAGACTACATTAACAAAAACTGCAATCTTGGCTCACTGAATGAGGAAGCTTCTTGTGTACTACTGCCTCAACACAGTAAAATAAAAAATACCTGATGGAGGCAGCAGTATACCAGCAGCTTCTGTGTTCAGCAATGTTAAATCACTGTTTTTCTCAATGAGGTCTGGCTTTGAAGAGAGCGATATAATGGCTTCATTTCCCTGTCGGAAATAGTTGCCTGATGGCAAGGTAGAGCAGTGAAAAGCAGCGATATAGCATACACTTTAATTTTTTTAAGGTTGTACTTTTTTAAGTGGCTAAAGCAGCCTACATTTTGCTGCTTAGCTTATGTATCAAACTCCTGCCTGCTTCTACAATCTGGGGGTGAGCCAGCTGACATTTACTGTACAGTACAGGCCAAAAGTTTGGACACACCTTCTCATTCAATGCGTTTTCTTTATTTTCATGACTATTTACATTGTAGATTCTCACTGAAGGCATCAAAACTATGAATGAACACATGTGGAGTTATGTACTTAACAAAAAAGGTGAAATAACTGAAAACATGTTTTATATTCTAGTTTCTTCAAAATAGCCACCCTTTGCTCTGATTACTGCTTTGCACACTCTTGGCATTCTCTCCATGAGCTTCAAGAGGTAGTCACCTGAAATGGTTTCCACTTCACAGGTGTGCCTTATCAGGGTTAATTAGTGGAATTTCTTGCTTTATCAATGGGGTTAGGACCATCAGTTGTGTTGTGCAGAAGTCAGGTTAATACACAGCCGACAGCCCTATTGGACAACTGTTAAAATTCATATTATGGCAAGAACCAATCAGCTAACTAAAGAAAAACGAGTGGCCATCATAAGAGTCACCTCTGCTTCTGAGGATAAGTTCATCCGAGTCACCAGCCTCAGAAATCGCAAGTTAACAGCAGCTCAGATCAGAGACCAGATGAATGCCACACAGAGTTCTAGCAGCAGACCCATCTCTAGAACAACTGTTAAGAGGAGACTGCGCCAATCAGGCCTTCATGGTCAAATAGCTGCTAGGAAACCACTGCTAAGGAGAGGCAACAAGCAGAAGAGATTTGTTTGGGCCAAGAAACACAAGGAATGGACATTAGACCAGTGGAAATCTGTGCTTTGGTCTGATGAGTCCAAATTTGAGATCTTTGGTTCCAACCGCTGTGTCTTTGTGAGACGCAGAAAAGGTGAACGGATGGATTCCACATGCCTGGTTCCCACTGTGAAGCATGGAGGAGGAGGTGTGATGGTGTGGGGGTGTTTTGCTGGTGACACTGTTGGGGATTTATTCAAAATTGAAGGCACACTGAACCAGCATGGCTACCACAGCATCCTGCAGCGACATGCCATCCCATCCGGTTTGCGTTTAGTTGGACCATCATTTATTTTTCAACAGGACAATGACCCCAAACACACCTCCAGGCTGTGTAAGGGCTATTTGACCAAGAAGGAGAGTGATGGAGTGCTGCGGCAGATGACCTGGCCTCCACAGTCACTGGACCTGAACCCAATCCAGATGGTTTGGGGTGAGCTGGACCGCAGAGTGAAGGCAAAGGGGCCAACAAGTGCTAAACACCTCTGGGAACTCCTTCAAGACTGTTGGAAAACCATTTCAGGTGACTACCTCTTGAAGCTCATGGAGAGAATGCCAAGAGTGTGCAAAGCAGTAATCAGAGCAAAGGGTGGCTATTTTGAAGAAACTAGAATATAAAACATGTTTTCAGTTATTTCACCTTTTTTTGTTAAGTACATAACTCCACATGTGTTCATTCATAGTTTTGATGCCTTCAGTGAGAATCTACAATGTAAATAGTCCTGAAAATAAAGAAAACGCATTGAATGAGAAGGTGTGTCCAAACTTTTGGCCTGTACTGTATGTAATACTCTGTACACTGACTATGGATAAGTACCTCATACAAGCCCACTTTAAAAGATCAGAGTTATCCCTTTAAGGGGCCCCAGAAGTCCCAGGTTCACTTTGTGGCAAGTACCTTGTGGTGATGTTCTTAAAGGTGCAGTAAGTAGGATTTAGCATCAGTGTTTGGCTTGTCCATTCTGGGCTACTGTAGAAAAACTTAGTGATCCCACTATCTAATGCAGCTTTTCAGATATAAATTTGTAGTCACTTGAGTGTCTTTCTCCAACTTTACACTGTTTTCACAGGCCAGTGGTAACTAAACTGACTCTGACATATAAAATTGATGGAGGGCCCCTTTAAAGGCAAAATTTAAACAGTCCCACAGCTTAATTTTGCCACAGGGCCCCCAGAGGATTAATGTGGACCCATATCTTGTACAACTGGTCATACACACTGCATTGCTTTATCTGAATCCATAAGCCAAGTCAAACGGCAAAGTGTTTCCACTGTACATTTATTGTCAGCCAATTACAAATCTAACAAAGTCCTGAACAGGGACACACAAGTTCAGAGTAGCTCAAACGTCTTAAAACTACCTAAATGCTTTAAGACAAACAGACCAATTACAGCCACGTACAAAAAATATATTCAAGTGTTGATGGACCCACTTTTGGAGATTTGATTTTCACCTCAAATCTCACAAGTACAAAGTAGAAACGATGCGCATACATCGTTTCCATAGGAACAATTAGAAATCACCAGCATAATTATGAAAAATGGAATGAATTGATATAACTCTGCTAAATAAGTTATTTCAAGTGTGTGAACAGTGATACAGTGGCATAAAACAATAAATTACTCCTCCTCAGTAAACACATTTAATTAAAAAACAAAGGACTATGACAGAAAGGAGCGTATCTGTTCATGGGGGAGAGTTAACCCACTGTCTCCAGTGAGATATTTACATGTACATCGTTACTGTAACTGTGTTTGGATCATTACAGTGGAGTTCCCATCAAATAAAATATACATCCTGTGTGTGCCCATCATAAATACATTCCCCGAGGATATCCGTAAAAAGACAATGCAAGAATTCCTGAATTCAAACAAAATGTCAAATTAAAATGACTCAAATACTCGCAGGAATGTAAACATTGCATTGTGTTGTTTAAAAAAAACAAAACCATCCACCACTTTTCTCTCTTGCATACTTTCACAGCATGAGGCTGAGGTGTGTTAGCTGTCCCTGAATGCCATAAACCCTCTTTCAGTGACAAATTTGCTCCTGGATAGTTCATGGTGTCTCCTCTACCAGCTGGAGTCAAAAACCTTCTTGCACATGTTCGAGTTCTCCTGGTGAAGAGGGAATTCAGAGCCGGGGACGAGCTGCTTCTTGCTCTTACGCGACATGACGCTCTTCCCTGATGACACGCTCTCGTACCTGGTCATGTATTCACTGAAAGCAGAACATCAATAACAGACAGTTAGGTTTTTGTATGAGATAATTCAACAATGAACCCCAAAGAGTACTGAAATATTTTCTTCACAATACCTGACGGGGAAAGTTGTTTTGTCCATCTGCATGCACACCAGGAAGGGATATTCGGAAAACTGGACAGTGGTGATGAAGTCCAGTGCTGCCTCTGTTTCGAAGCTGACCTCCACGCCTGCTCTCATGAAGTCCATGTCCACTGTAACATTGCCAGTGACCACCATCGCTCCCCTGAAACCATAAAGTGAAGATGTCCAACAAACAAAGAACAGTGTGTTAAAGTCATGTTTTCCCATTATCATCTTTTCTAAAAAAGTATAATTTTATTTAATTAAAGTTCAAATAAAAATTACAATATTTCACATGGTAAATATAAAAACAAAAAATATATCCAGCTTGCCAGTATGTGTGTTCATCATGTAGAAAAGCACATGCCTGATTTATACAAGAATTTATACAAGTGACGTCTAGTCGACAGGATCCTACATTTCCACGCTTCCCATTCATTGTCCATGTAAGCAGCCATGCAACGCATTCTAGTAGAGCTGCGTTGCATTTTAAGAGACTGCTCATTTGCATAAAGTAAAATCTAGGCTATTTTATGCAAATCAGCGGCATCTGGGGTCTCATTTATAAACATTGCGTACGCACAAAACGAGGCGTGAAAGAGGCGTGTGCCACTTCCCATGCAAAAGTTGTGATCTATAAAAACAGACTTGATAGGAGAAACTTTGACCCATGCTGATGGACATTAAGTAAATAGGAAAATGGCAATGTAGATGATGAGATGGAAGCCTGACTGTAGAAATTGTCAAATTGGCCCACGCCATTTTTGGCTTTTGTTTTATACAGGAAGTTTCCAAACAGCTGCCATGTTGGTGTAGTCTAAAATCCAGGAGCAGACAGCCCACATGCCTATTGGCGCGCCCATCAAACATCCAATACTGGAAAGCAGTGCTTGCATTCAGAGAGATGAATTGTAAAAGGCATTATCTTCTATATCAGGACATTTTAAAGTGCAGTATGGTAAAAATAATGCTGTTTTTAAAGGATTTTTAACCACCATTTAACACTTGTATAGCACCTTTCCAGTTTTCCAACCACTCAAAATACGTTTCACACTATGAGTCACATTCACCCATTCACACACTTGGGACCAAGGCTATCGTATGAGGTGCCACCTGCTACACAGCTTTAACACACTCACATACCAATAGAGCAGCAATCAGGAGCAATGTGGGGTTCAGTATCTTGCTCAAGGATACTTCGACATGCGGACTGGAGGAGCCACTGATCTTCCAATTAGTGGACGATCTTCTCTACCTCTGAGCCGCCCCCGACATTATTGGCCTGTATGAGACAGAAAGTTTGCTCCGGCCGGTAGGCAGTGTTGTGTTTCGGCCTGGACGTTTCCAACATGCAGGTCACAAACGTTCTCATTTCACAGCTAAACAGTACACTGAAATATGTTTCTGAGAACATTTGTGGTGATGCAGTAACAGAACCTTGACTCATGTTTGATCAACAACTGTGTTCGACAGTGTAAAGCAGTTCACGAGCAATGATTGACATGACTGACAGCTGCTTTCTCTTAAAAAGGCCTGTGATTGGCCAAAGTCTCCCGTCATGGGCTAGATTTTCTAAAGCCTGAAAACAGAACCACACTGCCTACTCAAGCTTTAACGTGTGAGCATAATGTGCAACAAAACATGGGTAGATATGGTTACCTGCAGTTACCTGAACCAGACATGTTCAGATTGAAAAAAACATCTGCTAGCCAACCAGAACCAATTATTGTCTTTAGCCTTATCATGCCTACTGTTGGATATGGTCCTCGTCTGTGACCATGTATCTGAATCATACAGACTGTATCAAAAGCACAGTGAAGCTCAGACTCTAACGGGTACAGTTCAACTACCGTGTAACAACTTCCCCTTATGTTTCAAATCAAAGTGTGTGCCAGCCACACTCACATCCAACCTCTGTAACTTTGCCCGTGGAGACATGCCTTGGCAAAGATGCCAGTGTGGTTTGTTCTGCTTCTATAGATAGCCTGCCAGTCTATTATCAGAGTGGAAGAGGTACAACTATGCTGATCCATTCACCTGCCTCTGCCATTCCCCCTGCACACACGGGTCAAATCAAGATGTGACCCCTAACAGTGGTCCAGAATCGGGAAGAAAATCCCCAAACAGAATAAAAAAGCTCTTTAATCTGTTTTTTGAAACATACTTTTGTTTCTTAGGATGCTGTAAAAAAGGCAATAATAATTTCTGCACCTTAACTTAGACCCTCATTAAACTCACATTTCCTTTTCTATCTTTTGTAAGTCATCTAAGGTCGTGTACATAAAGAGCTGTACTACTGCACCAGTGCAAACTAATGCAAATTATAAAGCAATAAGGAAGATTAATGTTAAAAAAATGATGCAGTACCAGAACAAAACCTGAGTTTCAGTCCAGATATCAGTGTTTTTTTATGGCTTACCTTTCTATGTAAAGTAAAAATAGTCTTTTCTGCAAAGAACTTTTTTCCATTCATCAAAACAATCTTAAAAAGCATTAAAAATCTGAGAATACCTGACCAAAATAACAAGCAAACAGGATGAAGAGTGGGACCAAACTCTCAGTGTCATGTTTGGGTGCTTGAGTTTAGGTTACTGTTATGGACAAAATGTGTTTGGTACTTAAAAAGCACTGAGGTGCTCATGCAGCCCTGTCTTGGCCAGGCAAACCACACCGTATTTGAATGTTAAAAACCAGCGGCATTGCTCTTTAAACCCCATTTCATCACCAGATGCCGCGAGCTAACTGATACCAGCATGATGACGAGCTCCATTTTCGGCAGCTACTGTTGCGCGTGGACTGTAATGTTTTTAAAATTAGAGAACCAGACAGAGCTGACGTCATATCCACACAAACCCAGAAATGAGACAGACGTGAAGCACAATACTGGAACGTGTCCAACATGCCGGTGGAACAAATGAATCAGGCAACACTTATAGACCCTCTAAAGTTCACATGAATCCAACATCAATAGAAATCTATTTGCAGTGTGGTGACACGGCTCGAACGTCTAAAACAACTTTCCTTTCAGTCACAAAGGTTGTTTCTAAGAATTGTCTGCCTATCACAAAGGCCTTTGCCCTGCAAGTGTACATGTCATACAGTACTCCACAAACAGTCAGATAATTTATCACCCCAAGGCTGTACTGGAGGCTGTGACCTATATACACACTACACAACAGTATATAAGAGCTCTGCTGATGTCCTGATTCAGCTACAGGACAAAAACACCTGCAACAGTTGTTTTATTGCATTGTCTGTGGACCGTACCTGTTGTTGACGCTGGTCTTGGACTCCCTGTACCACAGACTGATCTCCATGCCTCCAGAGATGTCAATGGCTAACCCACCCTGAAACTCAGCACTGGCTTTCAGACCGGACTGCAGCTGGATCACCTAGAAGGCCGAAGATGATCGGGAAAGAACAACAAAAATGAGAGATTTGGTTACGTCTGACTCTAGAGTTGTACCGATACCGATACCAGTAACGGAAATGCCTCCAATACTGCCTAAAATACGGTATCGGGTATCGGCGAGTATAGCCTATGACCAATCTGATACCACGTAATGCCTTACGTCATTACACATAGGCACGCTAGAGGTAAATGAAACGGAGCGGAGTTTAAAAAGCATTCTATTGTAGCCTTTAAAATGTCTTTTTTACCAAATTGTGTGGCTGCACTTTAACCTGCGTCTTGATCTGTGTCAACACTGGATAATAATAATAAAAAGGTTTTATGGCATTCATTCTACTATTATGCATTTATTTATTAATATTTTACATAGAGTTTTAGGAGTTGAGACATACAACAATTCATATCCTATCCATTTTTATTTTACTCGCTGGTATCGGATCGGTACTCGGTATCGGCAGATACCTAAGGTTCAGGGATCGGAATCAGTATCGGGAAGGAAAAAGTGGTATCGGTACATCTCTATCTGACTCACGTGTAAAAAGCTGTAAAAGCTCACAGCATAAATGCCACATCCTTGAAGCAGCTGTCTGCATTTAGACTCTGTTCACACTCACATCACTACGCTCAACAACTGCGTTAATAACTTGAGTCATTTGCTATCTGTGCTTGTGTACACATACTGTATGAATCTGACCAAGTAAACAACTGACAAAATAGGCTGTGGGTCATTGCCTTCCAAAGTGACCCATAAAAACTGTTTGCCCACCTAAAGTAGATATGAAAGTATATATAGATCAGAAAACTTAAAAGGTTACAGTTACATAGAAAGAGCCCAGTGCTGAATACTGGCTGGGATGCAAACATCACTAGATTAGAACTGAATTAGAATGAGAGTAGATTTTAAGCTCCTCCCCCTTGTATACAAACCCTTACAGTACATGAGCTGGGACCGAGCTACATTGCTAACTCCCTCGTTAACTATTTGCCTCCATGAACACTGCGATCAGTTGCTGCTGATTTCTTGGAGGTTCCCAGCAACAGTCTGGGATGCAGCCTTTGTCTATTACACCCCAGAGCTATGGAACACACTTCAGATATCAGGAAAGCTAGCTCGCTAAATATTTTATCTGTTCACTTTAGCCTTTAACTCACTCTGACTTTCCTGATACAGGTCTGAAACGCTTTCTTTTTACACTTTTACTTTGTATTTAGGCTTCACACTGCTGCAAGTCTTTTAAAATCTTATTTGATTTTGTAATTTATAGTTTTACAACTCTATGATTTATGAATCAGTTCCGTTTAATGTTAATTATGGCTATTTTCATGTAGCGCACTCTGTGCTTATAGTGCCCTTATTATAAAGCACTTAGTGCTGCATTTCTTGTATGAAAGGTGCACTATAAATAAAGTTTATTATTATTATCATGCCAACATCGCACTACCTCTGGTTTGCAGCTGCATGTCACAGAACATAAACCTACGTCTTTTCAAGCAGGTGTTTCTTAAGAATATTTTTCCGGGCTTCTATTGCCTTTATTTTACAGCAGCTAAAGAGTGACTGTAAGGGGAGAGAAAGAGGGGATGACATGCAGCAAAGGAAGGTTCTTTTCTCATTACTTCTGTCAGCCACTCTCAACACTAAGATGAAGTACACTACCATATTAATGGAATAATTCACCCTCGAAATGACAACTTGTATACAAATTAGTCATGCCGTGCTACCTTGAATCCATGTAGAAGACATTCTTTGAGAGCGTGAGAGTTTGTAAACTGATGTTTTGGGACAGTTTTGCTGTTGTTGGTGGTCTCCAATCAATAAATCAATATGTTCCATGTTTTTGTCACAAATTCAAGGACACACAGCATGACTGCTACTGAAGTATTCCTCTCTCGTTTGAATGGGGCATTGATGTGGGACACAGTTGTAGCTGCTTACCTCAGAATGATCAGTCAGCAGGATGAGACCCTTCACCACATTCATGGGCTCCCCGGTCATGGAGAACATTTTGGACATGAGGTCACTGTAACCCTTGAAGAAGGTGACGGGTCGCAGCTGAACGTCAAACAGCAGAGCTGACATCCCGGCAAATGACTCCAGGTCCTCCTCTCCCTCGTCAGGTGTGGCAGCAATCAGTGACTCCAGACCCTGAGCCTCAATTGCCACCTGGAAGAATATTCAAATTAGTCTGAGTTAGCAATTTGATAATGATCTGTTCTGATATTTCACATATACTTCATGACAATTTAATGTATTTCAGAAGGAAAGGCACTTTATGTAATGCATTAAAACATAAAAAGAGGAAGTAAAACAGCATAAAAAGATTAAGATAAAAAGATCTAAATTCCTGTTCCTGCAACATCCTCTCAAAGTGTGCTTTACCAATACATTACTGTGACTAATTTCAGTTTTATCATGTGGTTTCCTTACCTGCAGTCCATGTAGCATTGCTCCTTTACTAGCACCATAAATATTCATGTTGCTTCTCCTCAGGATCCCAGAGCCAGAGTACAGGATGTCCAAACTGTATGTGGAGGTCACATCGGCAGACTCTGTAGGAGGAGGATGAGGAAGTGCTCAGTGAACGTGCATAGCTGTTGACATGTTATTTATCTTATTGCTAATAGCAAGACTCAAAATTAGTTTTAAGTCTAGCGTGCATAACCAGCTACGCCAAAGGTCCGTGTTTAACTTGATTGACATTTTTCTTCATGTCATGTCATATATTGTTCATTTCTTTTAGGCTTCGGAGATGACGGGTTCATTACTTACGAGCCATGAATCCTGAGTATGCAGACGATGACCCAACCTTTGAGAAACGGTCATAGTTGTGGGAAACTGTGTCTCTCATTGCTTGTCGTAAAACTTTGCTGAAAAATAAAATATATATATATGTATTCATTTTAAAGAAGTGGCTGCAATATGAGTTGGTAAAATGTTTGGTTACACAAAATGCTCTTTTTGTAAGTCTTCCTCCCATAACACACCTGGCGGGCATCTCAAAGCGCAGGATGTCCTGGATCTTGGACAGCATATACTTGTTCATTTCATGAGGCAGATTTCCAATAGACAGCAACAGATTCTTCACCTCCATGTATGATGGGTTGCTACTGAGGATGACGTCAGCGGCAGCAGCCCTCACATTTTTCTCATAGATCCTTCGATTCTGGTGGTAAACCCTGTTCACTGTCAGCTTTACCTACAAATGAGATATTTGATTTCAGTTATATGCTAGTTAGCTCCATACAGCAGTAACAGTCATTCACAACAGCTGTAATGAATATGTGTGGCTCACCTCGTCGGTCATGAGGCTGACGTCGTATCTCTGCAGGGCAGTGAGGGCGATGGTGCTGAAAGCTCCCACCTCTGACTCTGCGTATTTGGTAAAGATGGGAATGGCCTCAGGAAGCAGAGAGTTCTTCAGAGCCAGGAGATACATCTGGACCTCAGACTCCACCTGCGTGCTGTCAGGGCCGCCTAAAATCAGCTTCTTCACCTTCACCACTGTCTGAGAGGTGCATACACAACAGAAGATCATCAGTCAGCTCAGTCAGTGGATTAGTTTGCAGACTATAACACAAAAGAAACATTTTCATAGCTGTACACAGACATTAGTTTATCATTTATCATCTTCTTGGAAGCTCACCGGTAAGTTGCATCCTCCTTTCTGACACAGTTTGTGGACCAGGGCTCCCATAATGATCACCACTGACTCTTTAATGTCTGTGCTGCCGATCTTTCCCTTTGAAATATCCTGAAAAAGAAACAATCCTCATTGAAATTCACCACAAACTTTAGATTTGCTTTACAGGTCCAGTGTGTAGGCTTTAGGGACATCTATTGGCAGAAATGGAATATATCATTCATAACTATCTTTTCAATAATGTATAAACACCTGATAATAAGAATCGCTAACTTAGAATGAGCCGTTTATATCTGCATATGGAGTGGGCCCTCTCCCACCAAGTCCACCATGTTGTTTCTACAGTGGCCCAGAATGGACAAACCAAACACTTGCTCTTGATATGGCCATTTGCATTTTTGTGTTTTCATATCAGCCACTGTAGTTTCTTCTACACACTTGGCACACCAAAGGAGTTTCAGTTTTTCAACCTCACCGCTAGATGCCACTAAATCCTACACACTGGACCTTTAAGTATACTGTGACTTGGTTTTTTAAGACTTATTTTTAAGGCTAAAGTTTTTAAATTTTAAGACAAATCATTTAAAATAGAATTTCATTTTTGTGGGCAGAGAGCAATAAATTAAATATATGTGTTTTTTTCAAAAACCAATTCAGAAAGAAGGCAGCACTCCACGGTAAAATAAAATGAAAAAAATAAATAAATAAAATAAAACAAAATACAAATACATAAAATAAAATAAAGTAAAATAAAAATAATTACAATAAAATAAAATAACATAAAATATAATTAAAATGAAATTAATTAAAATAAAAACTGGAATGTCTATTTGTTGACATTTTTGTTTTTTTCCCCACTAGAGTGCCACCTACTGTATTTCCTGAATTTAGTTCATTTTTTGGAGCAGAACTGAAATGCAATGCAGGTGAATCACACCTTTTCCTCTTCACAGAGATCTTATATTTCCTTTCATGAGCAAGAAAAGGTGTCAATCTATTACTGACAACATGACGCTCACCAGCAGAGCCTGGAGCATTCTCTCGTTGGGATGTGAAGCAAAGCCACATGCGTAGAGAAACCTCTCCTGCAGAACCAAACCTTTGGCATCTGTGAAGTTAAGGAATTGGAGCATGGCATCCAGAGATGCAGCGGTCTGGGAGGAGGTCACAGCATCCACCACCTGAGGTCTGATAGCAGGAGGAAGGAGGTAAATAATATGATGGTGAGTTGATAAAGTTGGACTTATTTAAAGAAACGGCAGAGTGATGACGTCAGTAAGTAAACTGAGATGTAGGAAGAGAAGGAGGAGCCCGTTTACAGAGATGTCTTGCTGGCGCTCTTCAGCACTTTGAGGATCTCGTCCTTGGACGCCTTCCTAATGCTCTGGATCAGGGCCAGGAAGCTGCGAGGAGCCGTGGCTTTGGACAGGCTCTCTGGCTCCAGCTGCTTCTTCTGAGTCTGCCAATTTTCAAAAAGCTAAGAGGGAGAACACAGGGGACAGAGGATTAAAAGAGAGATCATCTTCTGTCAATAAGGACGGTACAAAAATATAGAATATCTGTTTACTAATACGAGGTTATTTAGGAGTCGCTTTGCACATAATGACTTGGACAACTTGGGCCTGCATACTCTGAAGGAGGTCTGCAGGGACCAAACATTAGTTGTACTGATTCAATAAATGTCTAAAATGCAGCAGCAGTGTGGTCATACAGTATTTATGCGCCTGCATAAGAAATATTAAATGTGCAAGTGTTCTTTTTGAAATATGGTGAAAACATAAAGAAAAACTGTGGCGTGACAGTGAACAGATACTCACTGATGGACAGCCCTTGCACTGAGATTTGACCTTCTCTGCAATGATACCAACAGCTGCCATTTTGGCATCGATTGACTTGACAACACCAGCCACATCTTTCCCAGCAGCCTCCAGCAGTCCGGCCTCCTTCCCTACATATGTGAGGGTTTGCCTGGAAAGCAAGAAATGTAAAATTTAAAATGTAGCAGCACCAGAAATGGCAGCACACGTTTATTCTTTTTTTAAGAGATACTTAACTGATTTTTGACCAGCTTTGCATCATAACAATATTGGTAGTATATGTAAATGAACTGAGGTAAACCTCCCTCCATGTTGCCAGCGCCCAGATCTCCCTGCTCAACTCTCAGCTCATATTTACCAGTGGATTTTTGCTGGTTCTAGGGCTGTTGCTCAAACTACAGATTGTACTTCTGCATACTGCGTCAAGGCCATTAAATAAAGGCCAGGACATGCTCTCTGACCCCATGGGAGTTATGGGGTATGAACATGCGCGATATAACTGGAGCTTCAATGTTGGAGAGTTACTGCAGACAGCACTAGAAATAAAGGGATGGCGTCCGCTCAGGTGCTCTTAGGGTGCACTCTTTTGAGCCTCTGTCAGTGTGCTTGGCCTGACAGAACATTTTGGGTACGCTCATATTGAGGGAATAGAAAGTGTTTGTTTTTGGTCTTTTATTAAGTAGTAATTAAATTGCAGAATTCTAATTCTTACCCATATCTTGATTTTTCATGCAAACTATATTCTGACTCAAGGCCAATTGCCGATGCTATTTAGTGCACCAGGGATAACGTTTTTCTGTAGGCCGATGCCAAAGTTAGCATCACACTGGTTCCCTCATCAAAAAAGCCTATGGGATTTTTTGACTGGATATAAAGAAACTAGACTACAGTCGCATGACCTGAAAAAGACTGTTAAGCTGTGTTCGGCGCGGCATGATGGCATTCTGTAATCTCAGTTAGCCACTTGTTAGCAACCACACTTTTTAAGACACACAGAGGCTTCACAAAATTCATGAGTGGGGTATTAACTGATGTATTTTTTGTTGTAGAACAAAGTGGAAGTCTCTTAAGCTCCTGTGAAACACGGACCTTTTGTCAGGGATCTAACAAAAAATTCTTCAAAGAACCCACTGACTTTAAAACAGGGGAACCAAGAGTGCAAAAATGCTGACTCATCTCTACTGAGCCTTTCGGCAACTGCAGACCAGACTTCTCTTTTAATCCCCCTTGATTTTCGTATGCTTAACTCCGTGGACACAAAGAGTATAGAAGCGGATTGAGAGAGACACCAAACTCAGATCAAACGGTAAAACTAGGCGGTGCTGATCAAATATAAAACAAGTTACTGTGTTGCCTATTTCTCACCTAAAATGTCTTTCGAAACATGTTTTAGTGCACTGTTTGGCTGTTTGGCTGAAAATGCTGAGATGTGTTGCCCATTCCCCTTTGACTATAATTCAAGAATGTTTGATACCAGTCGGCTGACGTATTGTTTCTTGCGGAAAAACAGCCAAGCATTACCTCACCCTACAGCAGGAGTGTTTTGTATATTGGTCCGGTGCGGTGCATTCTGGTAGTTGTAGGTTCTCTACCTCTTGAGAAAAACCAAGTGCCACAGCCCATTTTCCTGTTTTCTCTGGTTATATAGCACCAATTTCAAAAGTATTTCCACTGCATAGACAGCCAAGTTTTATGAAAAAATCATCTTTCTGGTAGTGAAAGACACTTACCTGGACACAACTTTAGCTGCAGCAGATCTGCGGGCGTTGACAGCCAGTGAGTGTAGTTCTTCAGCCACGGCCGAGCGGATGAAACCATCTTCAAGTGTGAATGTTGTAACAGAACTAGACTTCCTACTCACACCCAGCACCTGAAGAAGGGACACATCAAGGTGTAAATTATTAGCAATTCAGTAACATCATATTTTAGCATGGTGAGCTCATCTGGATGCCAACGTACCTGACTGTGTGTGGTGAATCCGGTCTCTGCGGTCTTACACGTCTCCAGGAGCTTGGTTCTTGTCACTTGACCTTTTTCTGCCTTGTACAAGACTGTGCACCTTCCAGACACGTCATTCTGCACCCAGACATTGAGTTTGTCCACATTAGCTACATGTAAATACATATTTAAAACATGAATAAATGAGAAGGGAGCATTATCATGTTGTTTACCTCTATAACCTTCCCAGTGTGGGGCTGCATTTGAAGTAAGCTGGCCAGCCCTCTTTTTAGGTTCTTGATGGTTGCAGGTTCGGCCCAGTAGGAATAAAAGGCCTTTGCCTACAAAGAAAGCAACATGTTAAAGAGAATGTCATGCTTTGGAACAATGGATACTGAGGCATTCAGTCCAGCTGATAAAAAGGGAAGTGACCCACAGCGCTGTACATGCTGCAACTCACAAAGGTTGTCAGGGTGTCAGTTTTCCTGCGCACACTTGTGTAGACAAATGCATGGTCATGACATCAGACACATTACATGCAGAAATAAGATATTCTCTGAAGTGCAGATCAAAAACAAAACCAGGATACTTTGGTATTAACACTAAATGTTTAAAAAGAGTTGCTCTCAGCCTCTAATTATATCCTCAACACGCATCAGCACGCAGCTGACCAGCGTGACAGATGAGCCGGTCTTATGTTTACCAATGTTGCAGATATCACATTAAAATGATGGAACCAAAGTCAAATGTGCTTTGTTAATCTTGGGAAATATCATATCACACCACAGTTTAGTTTTCCAACGAGGCTTCAGTTTGGCTCAATAATGGACTCTGCCCCTGAGTGGAGAAAGCAGCCTATTACATCATCCTACAGTGTCTCCTATACAGTATGTAACTTATTTGTGGCGCTCAACCACAATATCAGTAAGCACCACCATAAATAGACCGTCCACTGCTACTCTGTGTATTTTTCCTTCTGCAGGCTGCCATCAGTATAAACACCCTCACAACACAGGGGAGACACTGACCTATCCTGTGTCACGCCAGCTGACTTTAACTCCACACTGAACCAGTATTCATCCTAAAAATATCATTTAAGGTAAGATTTGGGGGGTTTTTCAGCTGGTGTCTGACAGTTACACAACGGTGACAGATACTTCTCAGGGTCAGATATAATATGCACATACGGCATACTGATGAAGTATCTCTGTACACCACTGAAGTCCTGGCATTGTGTGAAACCAAGAGGAACAACATCATTTCTGTTTACTGGACTTAATTGGTATCACTTCACAATAAATGTTCATAAGTAACCAGTTGTTTTATTAATCAGCATCTTAAGCATGTTATATTGTTGTATTGTTGTAACCAATCCACGTGAGTTCTGCGCATAACGTTCACCAACCTAACTTCCTTTTTTTGTTGTGTAGATGCAGAAGTGTGTCAAGAATGTCTCAAATTTCCCAAGAAAAAATACTGCTAAAGTTCGTGCTAGGCAATTTCTTGATGTTCTGCACAAAAGAGGGGTAAACTGTTCTGCACCGCATACAACATTGTGGCGGAACACAAATAAAAGTCATCGATTGAAAAATACTTTTCCACTGCAAAACAAACCCGGTGAATGGCTGAAATTACAAACTCAGAACAGTGTATTTTTATTCTCACTAGAACAAGTTGCTTTCATTTTTAAAGAATCATACCAAAAAAGTAAAAATAAAAAACAAATCACAACTATTTATTTAGTACTCAGTTGCTCACGCAATTTCTTCGCAAAACAACACTGCCAAAACCTGCCATAATATCAGGCAGTTTAAGCCCCAAAAATACCAAAAAGCCTGTGAAATTCTGGAGGGACTGATTAATGGTTAAACAAGCAATCACTCATGCCTTACAGATCAGTTAAAAGCCATAAACAAAAACACATTTTCGATTGCAAGGTTGTAGAAAATCCCTTCGCCTGTTTTTCCTATGTATGCATGGTAATAGCGTACAGTAAATCTATTGAAGCTTGTTAGTACATATTTTTGAGGCCTCCAGATCCTCTGCTGTCCTGTTAAGTCGTCATACGGTCCAATTAGTCAAAGGATTCTATCATTAGTAAATGATTCATAAACCATCAATAGAGTCTTTAGTTACAACTTATGAACCCTTTATAAAGTGGTACCCAAGCCTTTACTGTGTAAAGCAGTGGATCCCAACTGGTGGGTCACGGTTCTAAAGTGGCTCGCAAACTTGTCAAGTTTCTTAAAATCACAATTTATTTTGATATATGGCGAATTTTTGGCACAGAGCTTTTATTTTGAAGTGCAGTTTCCTGCTGTAGAGTGAGAGAACAGACAGCTACTTGATAGAAACAGCAAACTAGCTCAACGACAATTATGACACTGAATATATTAAACTGTGTGGACCTTTAACTAATGGCTAAGGAGGAATATGGACCCCATGGCTGGACCAGTTGGGAACCACTGGTGTAAAGGGATCTTTACTCTTGCGAGGGGTTTTCTTCTACGTACAATCGCTTGTCATGATAATGATATTTTTGACTTTTCAAAGTCAGAAAAAATGATCGAGGTCATGTCTGTTTATCGTATGATACTGCCTTTGGTGTTGAATGAAGAGAGAGAGAAAAAAACTATGCTGAGGTAAGCTTTACAGTCATTTCTAGTCAAATTAAAGGTCCATTACTCTTTAAAGGGTGCGCTTGCATTATTATGCAACTACATTATCAGTACATCAGTTGCATAAAATGGTCTTACACTCACAGTAATACCAATTATTGCCATTATTTCTGGGACAGTATCTCGTCCAACAAAAGTAGCTGTTGGAAGAGGCCTAACGTACAGTCATTTACAGGGGTCATATGAGTCTTCTCCTCAGCCTTTAAATGAGATATTGACCAATCAGCCTGCCATTATTCCTCTGGTGGCAATGATGCATTATTGGATTGCACACAGTGATAATGATGCAATAACAGTGAATGAGTTTGGCTTGAATTCAAACATCTCACAGCCAGTGAGATGACAGCATGACTCTTATCCACCAACGTGGAGCTGCTCTACAAGCCATGCTTATTCGTTTGTTCATTCATTGACCCTCTGAACCTGCTGACCTTTGCCCGCACACACATCTGCCTGGTATTTCCCCTGCCAGCATCATCACTCCTGAACAGCGAAAGTCAGCTCTATAAACAGGGGAGCGCCGGAAGCACGCTACTGACACTCTAACATTACGTTTGTAAGCATCTCTTGCATGTATGAGATCATGAATTGTCTGGAAATAAAAATTCATATAATACTGAGAAACTGCTGCTGTTGTTACTGGCCTGGAGAGATAATTTATGGTAATGTTTACTAAAATATTCATTCTTTATACTAAAAGGTGTTTTATTTTGACGGTATGTTGAAATAAGGATTAAAAACCTAATAGACTGAGGCTGTGCAGATAATATCACAATGAGTGGTGTAGCCTGACAGAGACTACTTTCTTTATATTCTTTACTACCAAGGATCTAAACTTCTGCAATGTAATCAACTGAAGAATTGCCACCTGAAAAGAATTAAATGAGCAAGGAGTGAGGAAAGGTCCTTGACAAGTGCCGAGCAGTGGTGCCCCCAGGGTGGGGCCATGGCCTGGTGCAAAAAATTGGAGTTCAACAGTAATGTCTTTAAGAGGATTGCAAAAGTAGGCGTATCTTGTGAAACTAGACAACTTAAGGCATCCATTGGTACCAATCATGGCACCATAGCCTGTTGGGAAAGAGGTTAAATAACGCTCCAAATTTAGGTCACAAAAATTGGGCCTTCAGACTTGATTGCTGTGAGACTCGGCTTATGTTTTGACCTGGTAAAAGATCCTTAAATGTTAAAAAGCAATAGCAAGCCTTTTAAAGCCACACAGGTTAGGGGCTGTGGTGCTGCAGCAAAGGTAGTGTTACCTTGTGAAACTAGACAACCTAAGATCTATTCTCTATTGGTACCAATTATGTCATGCTAACTTGTTGGGAAGGGGGCTAAATAACGCTCCAAATCTAGGCTTAATTTTGGCGAAAGAACAAACGGCATGGCCATTTTTACAGGGGTGCTTTGAATGCTTAATTCAAGATATCTGAATGAAAATGGGTTCTATGGGTGCCCACGAGTCTCCCTGAACTTGAGAAAGCTTGTCCCCAGTAAATATTTGGTCCTTACAATCACTGTATTCTTTCAGATTAATGCTATATATATTTGTTTTTTAAGGAAAGGGGCCACCAGCCTATTTGAAGAACAATGAATCGCCTAACATGTAGAGACACATAACAGATTAGAAGAGGATTGTTTGGAGCTCAAATGTTAACTTTACCAGTTTAGTCTGTGCACATCGGATAATTGGTTATGTTATTGGTGCCACTGGTGCCCAAAGTAATGACGCTAATGCTCCTACCTTTCCATTTCTCAGATGCAACATGAAAGGTTTAGTCAGAGCTGCTAGCTTGGTCTTCCCCAAAACACTCTCTGTAGTGGATCCATGCAGGACGTTCTTCTTCTCTGGTCGACTGGATGCAGGCTCGATCCTCACGTTTGAGATCTAAATACAGTATAAGAGATTTACTAATGTGAGTGAAGACTTCACATATTGTTTGTGCATTGTCAACTGAGGACAGGGAAATAGACAGACTTTGCTACAAGTTTTATCCAAAGTGTATTTGTGGTCAGAAGTACTTGAATTAATAAAACTAAAATGTCCTGTCTCAACATGTGATGGAAGCCACATACCGCCAGTTGAATCAGTTGGTCGTCTTTGTTGCTCGGATCTCTCCACACCAGGTTGACGTCCACATCACTTGAGATCCTGTAGCCAGCACTGCCCTCTTTTGACCCCCTGGTCCTGTCCACCAGCACCTCAGTGGTGTAGCTGAATTTGTACAGCTGGTTGTTGTTCAGCCGGGGTCCAGCAGCAGCCCCTGAGGAAACACAGGAGACACAGCTGGTGAGCAAACACATGTGGAGACAGTGAGAGTGATTTGCAGTAAGACTCTCTGCTGTCATCATATATATGAAGACACTGCAGGTCTGTTAATGTGCTGTAGACTCAAAGGAACATGCCACTGGTGTTTGCACGTGAAATTTACATTTGCCTATTAAAGATTTTTAGACTGGCAAATAGATTTTTCTAACCCTTAATAACACAATTTGCAGCAAAGTTTTTATAGTTAACTAAAACTAAAACTAGATGTGCAAAAACATTTTAGTTGACTGAAATAAAAACAAAAACTAGACTTCAGAAAGGAACGAAAACCAGCTGAAACAATATTGAGTGCTTGAAAAAATAAAAATATATAGGAAATGTCTTTAGTTTTAATTAATTTTGTCAAATCTGCTGGTCAAATGCAACAAGCATGAAGAGGTGTTGGTGTATCTGTTTATTGAGACTGGTTTCGTCTAAATGACTGTGAGTAAACTGCCTTCACAAAGTGCTGTGTTTGTGTTGTAATGCCTATTCTGAACCTCTGAAATCTTGCCCCTAAAAACACCCCAACATTATAATAAAAAAAAACTTAAAACTAAGACTGAAACTATTCAAAGCTGAACTAAAATCCTGCATTTTCGAACAATAAAACCTAAACTGAAACAAGTAAAGTCACTCTGACAACAAACAACTATGTTGGACTGAAAACAAAACAATTAAAAATATGTATATTTTGATACCGATAATGTAATTTTGATAGCTTCTTACATTTATAAAATTGCTGTTTTGGAGTATGTGATCATATCTCAGAATTTAGAGCTTCTCTCTAGCAAACACATACATAGGACACTTTTCAAAGCAATCTTTACACTCTCAACTGCCTTTCCATTGATGATAATGTAACTCTGACAAAGTAAAGATGACTAAGTGTTCACTAGGATGAATGAACCCAAACTAGAAGATTTGATAGCTGTATCTTTAGTCCAGGTAGGACATTTGCAATATGGAAAAAAGAAATATCACAATATTTTTGACCAACAAATTCAGTATTGATGTTGCAATGACATTAGAGGGTTGACTATTAGTGCTTCTACAAAATATTTACATAATGAGATAAATATTCATCAGCAATGTTGGTGTAAGGACAAAGTTTGTAAAGGCAATACTGTAATGCAGCCTTTAAAACCAGGGAAAGACAGCATTTACAATGTTATGACATATAGTCCCATATCCCAGAACTGCTCTTTCCGTTCTTTAATTTTTTGTCTCCTTTCCAGACGTATATGAGTATCTGTGGCTCGTGCTGAGCTGATTCAATCAGGGGCCATTCAACAAGGTGTGTTCACCCTGAGAACAGATAAAAACCTCTGCTCTGCTCTATTAATGACCAGCTTTCAGTCAGATATGACATTAGGTCACCGTGGAAAGACAGACTGACGTGTCAGTACTTGATTTCATCACCAGTCACTGAGGGAAGTGGAGCTGGGATTCAACAAATAAAAAGTTTGGGTCTTTTGTCAACATTTGGCAAAGATTTTTAGAGAACAGAAGCAAGACGACAGAAGTGGTGTGTTTTCTTGTTTTGTAATGTTGGATTTTATGTGTCTTTCTCCTTTTATCAATCAGTGATGTCACACAGCAGCACTATATGAAGATACTCCACTGACAATGAATAGGAGAGTGTCATTATGGTCTCTGTGTGATCACAGAGTGTTATTTCCTGCCAATATCAATCAGTTTGGGGGATTTTAAAGTCTCTGTAGCACACTAAAATGAGGCTTAGATCATCACTAATATTTCAGCTCTATGAAGAAGCCTGCAGAGCACAGCAAGGTGTCATTCTGAGCTACAAATAAATTCCATTGTCCCAAATAAATTCATTCAACCTTCATAATATAATCTTCTAAACATCCTCTAATATAATCTAATATAATCTTCTAAACGTCCTGCTTGGCCCAAACATCACACCACCACATACTATCTCAACTCACAGAAAACATCCCATCAACTCACCTTTGGCAGCAGCTGAGACGGAGGAAGCTGCACAAAGCAACAACACAATTAGAGTTAACATCGCGCGTCCTCTCTCTGGAGCCAGGAGATCCAAAACCCAGAGTCTGTGGCTGAAGTGGCACCGAGGGGCCAAAAAGAAAGGCAAAGCAAGTCCGAGCTTCTATTATGTTTTATCGGAGGGGAGGGCAGACTCCAAACTCCACGCTCAAGTACTAAGTACGAGATAACCGGCAAATGATTAACCTGAGGAGCAGTGATTTGGACAGGAACTTCTGCCATTGATAGACGCAGCCAGGAGCTCCCCTTTTTGTATCTGCGTCTGCGCGCGGCCATGTGATTAATTCATCAATAGAAATGGGATTATCTGATTGATTCAGTTTATCAAAGGACAAATGAATCTTGCTGTCTGGAGTTTCTAGTTTACTGCGTGCCCTGACTTGTCACCAAACAGTAAAGTTATTGTTGCAGGGAAAATAATCAATTAATTAACGCAAAGATATCTGAACAAGAGCATTAATATTTACCAGGAGGTGGCAGAGAGACGTCCTCATGTTAGACACCTTTCACCCAGTTTGTTTTTGGGATGAACAGTCGCTACTTTGTCGATGTGTGTGTTGGAGGAAATGGGCCGTCTTTTAGTGAAACCAGCCCTCTGGCTCAAGTTACAGCATCTCAGTGGATCCAAAAGTGTGGCAAACTTTAGCAGAGGGACATGCTGTGTGAAATACTGAACATGGGGTGTGTTTTGAGTAAAGTTGCTGATTTTTCAAATTAATGCATCTCAGAGTTTATTTATGTGAAAATGCCAGTGTTGCAGCTGATTATAAAACTACAACCTCAGTCTGTAAAATGAAATTTGGGGGTCATACACTTAATTTCCCGCATTTAAGTGAATATTTTCGTACCTAATTGTGCATTTTATGCATCCATTCGTGGTGTAAATGCCAAACAACAGTCCTCTGCTACAAATGCACTTTGAAAAAACTGAGGTGGACACGTCCCCTATTAAAAACTTGAGGTTACAAACAGGAAAATATGGAGTCAAGAGGTCACTGAGGTAAGACAGAGCCAGACTGTTAATGGATTCATGAGTTAACAATGACATTTTTATTTAAAAAAAAAAAAAAAAAAATCAGCCCTGAAAATAAGTGGGAGCCAATGAAAATGAGCTAAAATGGGAGTAATATGTACAGTGTTGCTGTCTCCAAATTTATAGTGGAAAAATTAAGGAGTAAATCTGTCATCAGGGAGCCCAACATTTTTACAGAAGGGATTAGAACAGTTTTTTTATCATTAACACACAACACACAAGCACAATAAATCAAATATCAGGATAATAAAAGATACTGAGTTTACTCTCTCACACACAACTGAATGAATGAGACACACACAGAGTCCAAACCTGACTCACTATGTGTTTTATTAAAAACTCAAGTCATTTAGCACTAAGCACGATTTAAATCATTCTGGCATCAAACTGTTGAGGGTGTGAATGTGTTTGAGAGGAGGATTGATTACATCAGTAGGAGTAAATCTGCTGGTTTTCTCTGTTGAGTCTAAAAGAGGACCTGTAGTAACACTGAGGCATCTGGACAAAGGTCAGATCGTTGGTTTGCAATCAGTCCCTGATAACGCCGCAAATATATACGCTTTCTAAATTGCAAATTATCAGGGTTGTGTTGAAAGAAACGTGTGTGTGTGTGTGTGTGTGTGTGTGTGTGTTTAACCTACTGATCTTTGTTGTTCTCTCTGTGAATGAGATCTATTTTAAGAGAAAAACAGCAATGCGTCCTGACGGCTCCGCCTTGGTCTAATCAACAGACGACAGTTAGGGAACTGAAAACAGTCAGAGACAACACATGAGCAGCAGAGAGACTAAGCCCTGCTCTGACAAACAAAACTAACCTTTGTTTCATGTGTTTACTATGTTTGTTTTTCCAGTCACTTGTCAGACAGTTTACAGCCATGTCTGTGAAAACATGGATGCTTCACACACATCTTCCCTTCCCAGCACAGAAGATCTATACAATCAGTTTCAAGATGTGCCCAAGATTCGAGTCACGATTTCAGTATCTGACCAAATGTCCCACCTTCTGTTCCCGAGATATGATGTTAAGTAATGCCCAGAAAAGTGTTTCTGCAGAACATTATGATGTCACAGTGAAGCTGACCTTTGACCTTTTGGATATAAAATGTCATCACTTTAAAATTTCGTTTTTATTTTCCTTTTATTTTTCTTTCAGACATTGTGTGACATTTTGTCATAATTGGTGTATGAATTCTTGAGTTATGGCCAAAAACATGTTTTGTAAGGTCACAGTGACCTTTGACCACCAAAATCTAATCAGCTCATTCTTGAGTCCAAGTCGATGTTTGTGCCAAATTTGAGGAAACTCCCTCAAGGCCTTCTTGAAACAATGCGTTCACAAGGATGAGAGAAACAGATGGATGGACAACCTGAAAACATAATGCTTCCAGCTACGGCTGTTGCTGGTGCAGAGACATAAAAACAAGTTTTCTGTGTGTGTGTGTGTGTGTGTGTGTGTGTGTGTGTAAGGGAAATGGCACATTGTTGTCCGTGGTTAATTAAGGGCTGTTATCACTGTTCTTCTGATCAGTGTTTTTGTCGTGACTAAAGAGATTGTAGCATCCTCTCCACCTCTTCCTCTGGTCATGGCTTCTTGATTCTTCCACCCCCAAAGTGCATGTCCAGGTGGGTGAAAGCTGAACAAGAGACCTTTATCACAGCAGAAATTTTGACATGTGACAGCAGGAAAAACAAAGGTTTCAATAGTAAAAATTAAACAATGGCTGAATTCCATTGAGGTGCTCCAGTGTTTAGGATTTAGTGGCTCCTAGTGGTGAAGCTGCAGACTGCAACCAACCGACACTTATAGTGTGTGACAAGCATGTAGGAAAACAGTGGGATACAAAAGCAAATGGCCTTATCTAACACCAGTGTTTGTTTTGTCCTTTCTAGGAAGGCCCCCGGGAAGTGTGTCGGACTTTGAGACCAAATTATGTAACAACAACTTCCAGGTCAATCATGAAAAAAAGAAAGTTTTTCCCAAAAACTTACATTAGGAAAGAGACGTCAATGGATACATTTTTTTGAGCATCACAACCCTGGTGATATTACTCGTTTCACTATCAGAATGTGATTCATTTGGTCCAATAACCTTTCCAAAGTCTAGACGAGCCACATGATTAATTCATTCTATCCCCATCCAAGTTAACGTGAGGCTAAAATGCAAGTTGGCCACTGGTTGGAGTCTTGCTCGTTCTATGGACCCAGTGATGCAGAAGAGGCTAAAATGCAAGTTGGCCACTGGTTGGAGTCTTGCTCGTTCTATGGACCCAGTGATGCAGAAGATTGGGGTAATTTCACACCTGGGAGGTTGAACCTTTTTGTTTTAATGCGCCACTGAACAACTTTCATAGGAATGAACAGGGGCGTTCAAAGTTCTCTATACATCCATGACTCTGGGCTACTGTAGAACAACATGGTGGACTCAGTGGACGAGACCTGATCAATGTTTGGATATAAAGAGCTCATTCTCTGGTAATGAAATCACGATTCTTAGTTTCGGGTGATTATTTATGAATGAAAACACAGTTACTAATATTATATTCCATTACTGTCAACAGATGCCCCTAAATCCTACACTGTGGACCTTTCAGTCAAAGGTCAAAAACACAGCCAGAAATAAAGTTCCTTGTGTAGGAAAGGTCACTATTATGTTGCCAGAGGTCAACGGATTTAATTTTTTGCTTTGACCTGCAGGAGCTCAACTGAGGATGGTAATATGTATTATAAACAAACACTAGATGGTGCTATTGAGTAATTTTATTTATTATTTTACCAATAACTGACATATTTTGTTGTAAATAAGGTAGTGTATTAACTGTGTATGACTTGTTCTGGGGGCAAACTGTATTTGTCTTTATTTTATTTCAATTTTAAAAAGTATTAACAGTATGTATACGCACACAAAAGTTTACAAAGACCAACATTTATTCAGATATATATTTACAACTTGTCACCATCCAGTTATTTACAAGAATCAGGAGTACACATGAAACCAAAGTTATAATCAGAAGTAAGTAGAAATCACAAGTATGGCACTGAGTAGTAAGAAAAAGTGTGATCAGTCAACAACAATCATATGAAGCTTTTAGTGGAAAAAACAGGATATCTGACCTCGCTGCAGATGTTTAAGAGCTCAAAATGCAGGAATGCACTTCTTAAAAAATACCTCTTGTGTAAGGATGTTGAGTTCATCAAGGCTGTAGGAGATCTGACTGCAAAGAAAACGCTCTGTGAAATATACTGCAGGTTAACACCACCTCTACATGGCTGCTGTTACTTTCATGCTGCACAGTTCTATTAAAGGTTGATGTAAATGATATGCTTCCGCTTAATGTCTAGGAAGGAAAAACACAGAAGCTGTATGTCAGTTCTCAAGTTTGCATTTAAAATAATGCTGGTGAGAGACCTTCAAGTAATGTGTGTGTGCAGGCTATAAATTATTTCAATGTTCAGTTATGTGCCACCAACCGAGCGGTACCAGCATGCCATTCATGATGAAGCCTTGGAAATAGCTTGTATCCTAATTTTCCAGTGAAAACTTACAGATCAAAACAGAAAAAAAACAACACAACAAACAAAGGTTCAATTAATTCCATCAAAGAAACACAACAATTAAAAAATAGAGGAAAACTGACTGAATGAACACTGACAGTAAGGTAATGTGCAAGGAACGGCACGACACTCGTAACGTGCTGAAAAACCTGTCAAACAGCTTTGGGAAAATAAAAATCTGACATTATGGAGCACCATCAGGATACAAATTCAGTTTTTAAGGAAAAGTGCCCCCTCCAGTGGCTGCTGCGTGAGTAAAATAACAGTCCGTTATGACAGAAACTGCAACGAGCCTCATCGCTCGTGTGTGAAGATTAAAGTGCTTAAGGCTGAGTTTTGATTTGGATGCCACATCTCCTGCTTTCTTTTAAATGTCACTGCAAAAACTCTTAACAAACTACGACTCTGCAAAGCCCACAACATCAACTGTATCCCCTCATGACATTACATGTTACTATATCCACCTCAGCCCCACGAAACTCTGCTCACAAACTGCATGTGTCTGTATAATATGAGCACAGATAGAAATAAATCTAAAGTTAATTCTCCTTCGCTTTAAGTAGATTCAGTTAAACATTCAACAAAGTGCTAACTGGCCGA